GAGGAGTGGCTGGTGGGTTTGAACCGCCAGTCGCCTGGTTAGCAGGCAAGTGTCTTAGCCACTATGCTACCAGGGCTCCCGAGATTTATCTATGCTGTTCATAAAGATCAAATTCTCCTATTAACAAAATTAGGTTATTTTTTAACTTTTTACTTTTACATACACCATTGCCGTCAACATTCTTGGGCATATACAAGAGTTTCTCTAGGGCAGCTATCTAAAATTAGAATTGTTAAGTCACTCAGTATATGCAAATTTAATGTTATTAGATTTTGTCAAGCAGTAGTATATAAAGAACTCCTTTATTCCCAACTGTGATGGTTAATTTTATGTGTCAGCTTGGCCAGGCTTTGAGTCCAAGTGGACTGGCCAAGTATTATTGTTGTTGTTATGTGCCAGAGTCAGACCCAACTCATAACGACCCCTCCTTGAGTTTCCTAGGCTGTATCACTACGTAAGTAGATTGCCCAACCTTCCTTCCGAGGCCAAGTATTAGACTAGTGCTATTCTATAATGTAGAGGAGCTCTGGTGGCGTGGTCCCTGAGGCACTTGACTGCTAACCAGAAGCCTGGCGGTTCAAACCCATCAGCCACTCCTCGGAAGGAAGGTTGGGTAATCTACTTCTGTAGTGATAATGCCTCAGAAACCCACGGAGGGGTCGCTATGAGTCAGATTTGGCTCCACGGCAGTTTGTGTGTGTTATGATTCTACAATGTAATCTAATACAATGGAACCAGCTTCCATAACGTAATGTGATGTATCAATGTGACCAATCAGTTGAAAAAGGCGTTTCCTTAGGGTGTATTCTGCCATCAGACTAAATAGATATTTTGACAGAACTTATTCTTTCTCTACTCTATACTCTTCCTGTGGCCTCAATGACCTACACATACTGAGAAAAAGCCTGCAGAAGTCTCCAGCCTGCCACCTGACCTACAGATTTCAGACTTAACAATCCCGTGAAGGAGCCCTGGTGGCACAGTGGTTAAGCACTTGGCTAGCAGCAATGACGGTTGGCAGTTCAAATCCAGCAGCTGCTCTGTGGGAGAAAAGTTCACAACTTTGGATAGTTGGGCAACAACTTGGGCAGTTCTACTCTCCTTCTATAGGTTCACTATGAGTCAGAATAGACTCAACTACAACAGGTTTGAGGGGTTTTTTATTTGTTTGTTTTCAATGGTGTGAGTCAGCAGGCGTTTCCAGCCTACCACTTAACCTATGGATTTTGGACTTGCCAGCCCCCACAATCACGTGAACCAATCCTTTGAAGTAAATCTCCCTTTCTATATATACATATATCTCACTGGCTCTGCTTCTACAGAGAACTCTAAGACATCAACATCCTCACAAATCTGGTAAACGATTTTTTTTTAAATTTTTTGCCAATCTGATATGTAGGAAAGGGCTGTCTTATTTCTAACATTTTTTTTCCATGATTATGATAAGTTTCAACATGCTTCTCTACATTTTGTGGCTGTTCAGGTTTCTCTTACTTTGAATTGCCTTTCATACTCAGTCTGACATTTCTAACAGCTAGATGTTCCACCGGTACCTGAAACTCAGAACACTCAAAATTAATTAATTTTTTTCCTCCTACTTTTATGACTTATTTTATTTACCTGTGTTCCCAAGTTATCACTGGTACTGTCACACTGTCTCCATTACATCATTTGGACTGCTTCTGATGTTACTTTTGCCTGCTTTACTCCACCACTCCCCACATCCAATCAGAGTTGCTAATTCTTATCAATCTGACCTCTAAAGTCATGAGTGAAGGCAGAGATTACAGACCAAACGAAACCAAACACAATGCTCTGGAGTTGCATCCAACTCAGAGACCCCTCCTTGGGTTTCCGAGGCGGTATCACTACAGAAGTAGATTGCCCAACCTTCATTCCAAGGAGCGTCTAGTGGGTTTGAACTGCCAGCCTTCTGGTTAACAGTCTAACGCCTTAGGCACTAGGCCACCAGAGCTCCTAGAGGCAGACTTAAAAACCTAGTTGCTGTTGAATTACAACAACTCACAGCTAACTCATGTATGTCAGAGCAGAACTTTCTCAATGGCTGATTTTTCAGAAGTGTATCGCTAGGTCTTTCTTTCGGTGAGCAGCCAAGTACTTAAAGGTTTGCACCACCCAGGGAATCCAATCACACTCATATCCATCTCTTCACTTCTCCTTTGGCATATGATTGTAGATGAATGGAAAATTGGTAAGGAGAAAGAGATACTGAATTGGTTCTTAAAATCAAAGGTTCATGTAAAAACAAATATTTGAAAGAGTCTTGTTTTGCTGTAATTCTTCACTTAGGCTATAAAGCATCTCTTTTTCTAAATTCTTTGAACCCTTCTTAGTGTTCTGCTGCAGTACTGGAGACAAAGGAAAACTGAACTTTCTTTAGATTTGACATGAGATACGGGATAATACGAAGTGACATAAACAGGCTTTTACTATGACACTTTACATAAACCTAGCTAAGCGTTAGGTGTGCTTAATGTTTGCTGTAGCTGTAGGTATCAATTTTCTTTAGTGTTCCTGTTTTTCATCTCCCCTGTCCTCTTTGAGTTTCCCTATAAACAGAGTGTCTTGCAGCTCTCTCAGTTGCAATCTACTATAAGTATTCTATAATTTTAGGATTAAATCTCTGGTAATTTTTTTACCTGTTTGTTTTGTTTTTAAATTGGACCAGAGTTCCTGGTCTGTGATCTTCAGAAGAATCTCTTAGTGTTTTTTCTTTTTTTTTTCCCCCTCCCTTTCTGTAAGGTAAGAACATTAGAGGGGACTGGAGCTAGCTAACTACCTTCCCTCCATGTCAGATCCCTGGGTAATGCAAATGGTTAACACACTGGCTGCTAACCAAAAGGCTGCATGTTTCATTCTTCCCAGGGGTACCCTGGAATAAAGGCCTGGCAAGCTACTTCTGAAAAATCAGCCACTGAAAACCATACTGAGCACAATTCTTCTGTGACATGTATGGGGCTGCCATGAATCAAAATCAACCCAATGGCAACTGAGTTGTCTGTTTACAGTGGTTTACCTTGAGGGCAGGCCTTTGTTAAAAAGGACTGAACACTAGGGGACATTCCTGGGATTATTTCAAAATGGTTACTTTTCATCATTTTTGCTGATCTGTGCAGCGAGAACGTAGTGGTACTCTTGGAGGTAAAACTCACAAAAAAGCGTGGGATCCCCCTAAAACTGGGCCCCAAGAAATTTTAACTCTCAGGTTAGTCTACACTTATCATTCAGTAATTTGTCAGTCACTGTTCAAGTGTTCCTACCAGTTAATAGGTCCAGCACATTATGCTACAGGTAAGCTGTGGTTCTCTGTATTAACCTGTCTCTGGTTTTTGGAGCAGTGGTTTGCCCCAGGACCTCAATCTTCTGAGCGATCTAAGAAGAGCTGCCAATTTCCAATTTTAAGCATTTTTCTTACTGTAAGGACAAGTGTGTCAACTTCTAAGCTCTGTACATGTCAGAGTGGCCCTCAGTTTGATTTTAAGCAAAATGAATACAGGAAATTTGTCATCTAGTTCTCTTAGTAAGTAATACTATAGAATTTAGTACAGGTGTCTTTTAGGAGTTAGTTCACTCATTAATTTTCCAGTCTTTACAAAGTGAAATTGCTTAATGGCAATGAAATATAAGATGGCTTTAAAAGAATGCTGCCTTTGAGTTTTAAACTATTTAACTGTTTCAACAAAATCAGCTTATTTAGTGTTGGTGTTCCAATCAGAAATTACAAAAGATTGCAAAAAGGCAAAGACAAAAATACAAGTTGATAAAAAGCTGCTAAATAAATAATATTTAGGAAGAAGAATCATCAAGAAACTCTTAACTTTAAAGTAAAATATAAGACATTAAGGTCTTAACAGAAAAACAGGCAAGAGAGCGTTACTATGCAGCTTTTAAAAGCAAGCATAAGATAACTGGATAAAATTCATTCATTTAATAAATGTTTATGAGTAATAAGCCAGACACCATGCTTAACACTCAAGGAAAGAGATAAAGATATACAAAACCCCAGTCTAGGAGGGAGATAAATTCATAAAATAAATGATCACAATTAAGTGCTAAAATGATGGTATGTGTGTGAAAAACACAATGAAGAACAGAATAAAGATGATTTCTCTGCTCATGTGTAGAGTGTGCATATGAGGGGTATATGGTGACAGGTAGAGAAAGCTTCACAGAAATGGTGATTTTTAAATGGCATCTTGCACAACCCTTAAGCCTCTTTCCCTTCTCCTAAGCCGCTCCTCACTAGAGGAGGATTGAATTAGGAAAAAAGAGTTAAGCATGCTCCGTTCAGTGCCATCCTCTCCAACCTGGGGTACGTGTGCCTGAAGAGAAAATGTATTCTGGTCTTCTGTCTACTTGTGAGGTAAAGAGTCTGCCAGCCCCTGTGAGGGAAGTCTGTAGTTACTCAACTGTGCTAGGAAGCTAGATGAGAATTCAAAGTGAAATGTTAACAAGCTCTTTTGCCTAGAGGATCTAAAACTAGATTCTCTAGTAAATTGTATGAGAAATAAAAGTGTTCTTTATTTCTGGCATACACCTTCTCCTCTTCCATCTATCCTTTTTGGTTTTGAACTTATGCCTCTCCAATCCCACTGAACCCCATATGCCAAGCACTTTTAAAAACATATGTGCATATTTCATTGGTCTTAAAGTAAAAAAGCACACATGAAAGAACGATAAGGGGGATTATAGACAGACTACAAGGCAAAGGACTGTAGTTCATCTTGCAGTCAATGGAGAACCAAATATGGCTTCTAAGAAAGGAAATGACCCCCCAAAAAAAAATTACTATAAAATATAAAGTATTTAAAGCAAAACGAGATTTATCTTTTTAACTGAGATAAGATCTAAAACATATGGTTAAGGTAAAAGAAAATCAAGTCACAAAACCATGTATACAACATCCTACCATTTAAATTAAGCACTACACATTATAATTATATTCATATATACTTAGTATTTTCTCTCTATATATATATGCATGGAAAAAGGGCATAAAAACAGACTAAACTAGTAACAGTGTTATGTCTCTGGAGGGACTAGAGGTGGTCATCAAGGTGGTCTTTAATGTCATCTGTCATATGTATTTGTGTATAACTTTTATAATTAAAAACAAATTTTGAGAATCAAGGGGAGAAATTATGAGAGCTTTGCCTCAACCAGTGGTAATGAAAAGATGGAGAGCAGTTGTATATGAGAAGATGACAAACCTGGTAGGATCCACTTCAAAACTAACATGTTGCCAGTCAGAGGATGTGATCACAACTCTTAGTAAAGGATCCAGGAGTTTTTGTAGGTAGGTAGCACCATATACCTAGAGAGATGGAAAATTAGGAATTTATTATGCCTACATATATCTTGAAGAAAGAAGACATTCTCCTCTGTACGTGTTTGACATGTCTGTAAAAAATGATGAACAGATACAAACCTTAAAACAGAATGTCATTATTTTACTGGCCAAGCTGTTGCCTCGGAAAAGAGTCTGCATGGAGTCTGCCAATTCTACTTCCTTAGAAAACATGTTCCAGAGTAACTGGTAGAGTAAATGCCGAGAATCAAACAGCGTAACCAGAACTCGAGCTAGTTCATCCTGAGAACAAAACAAAATTGGAGTGCTGTAACCAATTTCTTTTCTCTTAATTAGGAAGTTGAAGACTACCAGAAAGGCAAATCCAAATTGACAACCACCTGCGGAATGAAGGTAAATGGTGACTAATTAATTTTTCCCCTGGGATGTACCTGTGCATATTTGTTTACGATAAATGACTGTTTATACATCAATATAATAGCTGTTAAATCTAAGGATTAACTGGTAAATGTAAGTAACAAACACATGCTTAACCAGGAATCAGAAAAACTCTAGGACTCAGTTCAAAGTAAGTTTCATCTGCAAAGGATTTGGCACAGATCATTTTCCAGAAAACCAATGAGAAGGAACAGACTTTGGTGACCAGAAAAGCCAGGGAAACTCAGTGAACATTTAACACAGACTTAGAGAGACGAAAATGGAAAGATACAGCATTTTCAAGCAACAGGGGAGGATGCGCTAGGCAGCCGCATTCAGAGACAAGAAATCATCAAGACTGAAATACAAAGCTAAGGGTAAAAAAGCTGAAACTTCCATCCAATGTCTAAATGATAACCTCTGTAATTGCCCATTGTACATAGCTGGAGTTCAAAATAAGAGAATGTGTACAGCAGAGTTTTATCCTTTCACATTATTTACTCAATCTGTATGCTGAATGAATAATCTCAGAAGGCAGACTACGTGAAGAAGAACACAGCATCAGGACTGGAGGAAGATTCATTAACAATGCACACTACACAGGCAACAAAATCTTGATTGGCAAAAACGAAGTCAACTTGGACCACTCACTGATGAAGATGCAAGACTCCAGCCTTCAGTATGGATTACACCTGAATGCAAAGAAAACTGACTGATAAGCAACATCATGATCAACTAAGAAGAAAACTGAAGCAGTCAACAATTTCAGTCTACTTGGATCAGCAATCAACATCCACGGAAGCAGCAGTCGAGAAAACAAACAATGTCTTACACTGGGCAAATCTGCTGCACAAGATCTCTAAAGTTTTAAAAGGAAAAGATGTCATTTTGCTGACTAACATGCATCGTATGTACGCAAATGTCAGATACTGAAAAAGGAAGACAGAAGAACTGACGTGTTCAAGCTGTGGTATTACTAAAAAATCCTGAATATATTGTGGATTGTCAACAGAGCACACAAATCCGTCTCAGAATAATTACAACCAAAATACTCTTTAGAAGTGAGGATGGTGAAAATGCAACTTGCTTACTTTGGACACATCAGACCAATTGTTAGAAAAGAACATCATATTTGGAAAAAGTAAAGGGTCAACAAAAACGAGGGAAACCCTCAGTGAGACAGAGTGACAAAACAAGTCATGAAATAGACTCTGACGCCAATGATCATGACGATGGCACAGGACAGGCACACGCTGTTCTCTTCTACACAAGGTTCCCGAGAGTCACAGCCGAAGACAGCATGTCTACATACATATTTGTACGTGCTGTAAGAATGTCCAAATATATAATAGGGCTAACAATGGCCAAAGTTATATTGACTTCTTGGCCACAGCCAACCACCCTGAGGGAGTGAGTACTTGGACCTGTGGGCTCGGGACCATGATTGCAGGGGACATCAAACTCAACTGGTATCGCATACTATACAAAAACATCGTTCCACATCCTAGTTTGGTGAGTAGCACCCAGGGTCTTAAAAGCTTGCAGTCGACCATCTAGATGCAATGATGGCTCTTTCCTCATCCAGAGCAAAGAAGAATGAAGAAAACAAAAGACACATGGAAACAATTAGTCCAAGGGACTAGTGAACCATACGATCCTCAGCCTACATAATCATGAGACCAGAACAACTAGATGGTGCCTGGCTATCACTATCAACCACTGAGAAAATGATCAGTGCAGGAGATCCAGGATAGAGTGGAAGAACAATGTGAAATAAAACTCAAAATCATTAAAAAAAAAAAAAAAAAAAGGTTTATTGGTATGATGGAACCTGGTGAGACCCCCAACTCTATGGCCCCTAGTTACCCTTCAGGTCTGGACTTGAACTCACTCCCATGGCTTCCAGCAAAACAACAGACAGGCATATAGGAGGAACATTTACATCAGGTAGATACACCCCTTAGAGCAATCAATTGTGGGAGAACGAAAGGGCAGTGTTTGCACAAGGAGATAGCTCAGAGGGCAGGAATGCATAGGAAAGGACACAGAAAAGAGGTAACTACAGGGAGAAAGTGAGAAGAGAGCTGTTACACTGTGAGGAACTGCAGTCAATGTCAGGAGATAAGGAGCTCTGGTGGCGTAGTGCCCAAGGCATTAGACTGCTAACCAGAAGGCTGGCAGTTCAAACCCACCAGCCACTCCTCAGAAGGAAGACTGGGCAATCTACTTCCGTAGTCATACCACCTTGGAAACCCAAGGAGGGGTCGCTATGAGTTGGATCCGACTTGATGGCAGTGTGTTTGGTTTGGTTTGTTCATAAAAACAGAATGTGTATGAACTGCTGTGTGTAAAATGAATTTGTTCTGTAAACTTTCACCCTAGTCACAATTAAAAAAAAAAAAAAAAAGACTCACAGCTGATTCAGTGTCAACTAACAACAACAACAAAGTAGTTTTTGGTACACTAAAGAAAACTGATCTACTGCTGAGAAGAGATCAAGAGAGAACAGGGGTAGCCATAAAGCAGTGACAACAAAGGCCAGGAACATAGTTCATAACCCATCTCATTCTTGCCTGGTCTCAGAACGACAATAATCTGTTATCTGATTATAGGAAAAGGTTTAACACAATCCTAAACACAGATAATCTACAAGCCAAAGAATTATGAAGAGCCAATATTCAACTCTATTCCCTACAGTCACATACTAAACATGACACTAGATACACAAATTCTGTCCATCATTATAAAGTCAAGAATAATTATGACAGAGAATTCAGCTACAAAATAGAAACTACTTTTAAGGCATAGTGCCTAAGGCATCTGACTGCTAACCAGAAGGCTGCTGGCTCAAACCCACCAGCCACTCCTCGGAAGGAAGACTGGGCAATCTACTTCCATAGAGAAACCATCTCAGAAACTCAAGGAGGGGTCGCTATGAGTCGAATCGACTCAACAGCAGTGAGTTTGGTTTTCTTTTTTTGGGTACTATATGATTTTTCCTACTACAATCTCCATCTTCAAATTCTGAAAACCAGTGAAACTTTATAAACACCAGAATTTAGAAAACGTATTTACAAAGCTGAATTAGAAAGCTAAAACTATAAAGTTCCTAGAAGATAACAGAAGACCAAAACAAGGATACCTAATTTTCAGCATAAATAGCATATAAAAAACAAGAGATTACTGAGTAACTCCCAAAAACCAAATTCACTGCCATTGAGTCAATTCTGACTCCCAGCAAGCCCCATTGGATTTCTGAGGCTGTGAATCTTTACAGAAGTAGACTGCCCCATCTTCTTTCTGCAGAGTAGCTGGTGGGTTTGAACCACTACCCTTCTGGTTAGCAGTCAAATGTCTTATTCACTACACCATCAGAGCCCCTTACTGAGTAACTAGGACTTCCTCCTTGGCAATGACCTATCTGACAAGGATCTAATCTCTACAATATAGAGTAAAATTCAACAACTTGACAACAAAAAGACAAATAATTCAATAAAAATGGGCAAAGGACACGAACAGTGTGGACACTTCAAAGCAGACATTCAGGTGGCCAAGAAATACATGAAAAAATGCTTGTGATCACATCTATTAGAGGGATACAAATCAAAAGTACATGAGATAGTATCTCACCCCTGCAAAAATGGTAATGATCAAAAAAAACAGAAAACAACAAATACTGGTGAAGTTGTGGGTAAACTGGAACCCTTATACACTGCTGGTAAGATCATAAAATAGTACAACTCTATGGAAACAATATGGCACTTCCTCAAAAAGCTAGAAATAGAAATATCTCAGGATGCAGCAATCCCACTCATAGGTATATATCCAAGAAATATATAAGAGCAGTAACATGACAAACATATGCACACCTAGGTTTACTGCAGCATTATTCACAATAGAAAAAAGACGGCAACAACCTAAGTACTCATCAACAGATGAATGGATAAACAAATTGTGGTATATACATACACTGGAATACTATATAACTATAAAGAATAAAGAATAATGAAGAGTATGCAAAACATAACAAGGATGAATCTGGAGAACATTATGCTGAGTGAAATTACTTAATCACAAAAGGACAAATATTGTATGGTCCCCATTATTATAAGAAGTCAAGAACAGATACATAGACAGAAAGCAATTTCTTTGATGGTTATCAGGAATGACACAGGAGAGGAGGAAGGAGACGAAATCACTTTCTAGATAGTAGACACCTGTTATTTTTGGTGATGGGAAAGGTGTATGAGTGCAGTCTGTACAACTTGACCAAGGTAAATGAAGAAACTAAGAAGTACACAAGAAGAAGGCACAACTTAAGTATATGTTGTAACAAATAAATAGTAATAACCAAAAAACAAGTGTGTTGTCACATAGGTAGATAGGTATGCATACATATATATAGGAAGGAATAAGTGAGAGCATGCACATGCATTTATAGGTGTATCTGTAGGCATACACAAACATATAAATACACACATACACATATACACATTTGTGTATGCCACATATATATCCATATACATAATAAAGCACATAGGGGTCACAGTTACGAAGATTTCCTAGACATATACAAACAACCTGCAGGATTGCTTTATTGGGTTAAAAAGCTTAGGACCATAGTTTCGTGGGATAACTTGCTCAATTGGCATAACATAGTTCATAAAAATAATGTTCAATATTCTAGTTTGGTGAGTAGTGTCTGGGGTCTTAAAAGTTTGCAAACAGCCACCTAAGATACAAACTACAAGGCAGTTCCTGGGGTTACAAACATCTGACTTACATACAACAAGTCTCATAAAGCCTGTTATATTAAAAATTTGGGGTACATACAATGGTTCATAATACAAATGGGTGCTACTTTGGATGTGCATAAAAATATTATTGTATTATTATGTTAAAGATGTGTAAGTATATCTAGAAGTGTTGTTTTTAATGCTTTTTATGCATAGAAAGGTATACTATATACTAAGACAAACATCTGAGTAACTAACATTAGATATGAAACATACATAACTGTTCCAAAATACATACAAATTTGACTCACAGACAGACTTAGGAACAGAACACTTAGGAACAGAACAGAATCAGGGGACTGCCTGCATTGGTCTCTACTTGTCTGAAACAAAAGAGAATAAAGGAAATCAAAGACTCGAAGAAGAAACTAGTCCATAGGATTAATAGACCACATGAACCATGGCTCTTCTAACCTTAGTGAGTCCAGAACTACATAGTGCCTGTCTACTACTACTAATCAGGACACATTAGAAGGTCCCAGATAGAATGAGAGAAACATGTAGAACAAAATTCAAATTCCTCAAGAAAAAAAGGCCACACCTACTGGATTGATAGAGATTAGAGAACCTGTGAGACCAGGGCCCTACGATACTCTTCAAACTGGGCACTGAAGGCACTACTGGAGGTCACCTTTCAGCCAAATAACATGGATAATAAAACAAACATTATCACCTGTGAGTAATGTGTCCCTTAAACAATTAACTGTATGAGACTAGTTGACATTTATCCAAAAACCAAAGATGAGAAGGCAAGGAGGGGAAGGGAAACTGAATCAATGGAAACAGAAGAAACAGAATGGTAATAATGAGAATGCTGATGCATTGTGAAAATTTTAACCAATGCCGCAGAACAATCTGTAGAAAAACTATTAAATGGGAATCTAATTTTCTTATAAACTTTCACCTAAAATTCAATAAAATATATATTCTTTAAAAAAGAGAATTAACATATTAAGAAAGTTATCTTTTATTAGTTTACCTTTTTTATAGATAACTGACAGATCTGGGCTAAAATATCTTCTCAAAATAAACTCATAATATATAACTCATTAGAAATTATTCACTGTAAGGAAACAAAATGAATTAAAGCTCTTAGACTTAATGATTCTTTTCTTATTATGAAAATTACTGAGTATTTTTAATTCTAATAGAGGTAGATACAAAAAATGTAATTCAAAATACTCATTTTCAAAACAACGATTTTTAAACTATTCTTAGATTTCAAGGGAATTTAAAACATTTCCTTCTTCTAAATCCTTAGCTACAAGTAGAATTCCATCTTCATTCATTAATCAATTATTTACTGAGTCCCTGCTACGTGCCAGGCTCTATTCTAAGAATTGAACTACAGCAGTGTACAAGACAGACAAGGTGTCTGCTCTCACGGAGCCTAAATTCTGGTGGAATAAAGAAAAGAGAAAATAAGAATTCTAATATATAAGACAGTTTCATATAGTGAATAAATGCTGCAAAGAAAATATAGTAAGGCAATGGGACAGAATGACAGAGGGTAGTTTTGACTGGATGGCCAGAAAAGGCGTCACTGCGAGACATTTGAACTGAGACTTGAATAATGAGAAGCTGGCCAGTTAAAAGATTAGGAAAGAAGACTTTCAGTCAGCAGCAATAGCAAGACTCCTCAAAGGCAGAAGCAAGCCTAGTATGTTTGAGAAATAGAAAGATTGTCTGTGTGGCTTAAATTTAATGAACAATAAGGAAAACCGCATCAAAATGATGTCATAGATAAGGCAAGGCCAGGCTAGGTAGGCTAAGGTAAGGAGTTTGAATTTTACTAAAAGTACAAGGAAAAGTCTTTGAAGGGTATGCTGATCTGTAGGATCCTTTTCATAAGATCTATGAGGAGTAAGACTCTCCAGTTCTCAAGCAAAAACAAATCTATAGGCAATGGTAGATTACCTTACTTGTCATAATTTATTATACTGAATCATTTTTGGTACAATATAAAGTAAATTAAGAATGTTGTTTTAGTAAAATCTTTCATTAAATTAGAAGAGAATCCATATTATTGTATTTTTCACATTTAATGCACCCACGTAAATAGCATGCACATGCATGTAACACACACAGCATGCACAGGATACTAACATAACAGGGGGTTGCATGGTTTGCAAAAAATTTTATTAATGTGCGTTATTTGCATAAAAGCACAGTATGTCTTCTGTGTTTAAAAACAGTGGCATCACAATTCCAAATGTAAACATAATGCTTATGTTTTACAAGCTTGTACACTGCATTACAGAAAAAAAGAATAGCGAACTGCAGGTAGTAAACAGGCACACATCTTAGGCTCCAGTTGAAGAACTATTAACAACTAATTATGAGATTTAGCCCTAATTACCTCAGCTAATAATATGAAGGTACTAGATCAGATAAGTAAGGAGCTCTGGTGGCATAGTGGATAAGGCATTAGGCTACTAACCAGAAGGTCAGCGGTTCAAACCCTCTAGCCACTCCACAGAAGGAAGATGGGGCAATCTATTTCTGTAATACAGCCTTGGAAACCCAATGGAGGTCTCTAGGAGTCAGAATCAATTCAATGGCAGTTAGTAATTTTAGTCTGAGATCAGAACAGTGGTTTTCACCAGGGCTTTGCACTGGTTCAAATAGTTCAGTTATGGCTGGTAAAGCAAAATCAGAAGAGACCCAAATTTAAAATTTTGTATATAACAGGAAAAATAACCAGAATGGAAAAAATTACAGGTCGAAATGCTGGAATGGCAGACTCAAGAAGTGTACCAAGCTCTTCCAGAAACCTGATGTGAGAGGCTATATTACTGGTCAAATTGCATAGAGTGACACATTCAAAGCTGCGTGGCTGGCTGTCATTTTCGAGCCGGGAGCCTGTTTCCCACTCTACGAACAAGAGATTTGGTTGCTGTGCAATGTGTATGCAGTCCTAAGACGGAAAGTAAGTTTCTAGCAGGGCTGCAATGTGTAATTTTTCTGTTTCAGTTATAGTTCCAGGTCACCCAAATTTTAAAAAATTCAGGTCTGTTCTGGTGTCATTTTGTCAGCCAAGATTGAACAGGCCTGGTTTTTACATCTGATATTACCAAGAAGGCCAAGAAGTGCTCAGATAAGAAGTTTTTAATTTTCTTTTTAATCAGATGTTTAAATGAAATTTTGGTGGAATGAGGTAGAATACAAGCAAGGGCTAGGAGCTCCAAACACTTTCCCAACCCTTCCTCAGTTAAGGCACTGATAAACACCGCTGAAAACTATTCCATTAAATACAGGATGTTTCCTCCAGCTCTAAAATTTTATGAATTAATAAGCACTTATTAAACAAATATATTTTGAAGCTTTTGCTACGCGCCAGGTACTCTTCTTCCCCATTTACCCAAAGAACTTACCCACTGAGAACAAGGTACCACATTGGCCAGGGCCATAGCTATTGGGAGCTCTCCCTGATCACCCATCATTGTGACCAATTCAACCAGTCTCTCAAACCGATCTGCCAATACTGTTTCCGCAAGTGTGTCAAATTCTGTGCCTTGTTGAAGGATTTTTGTCAAAACTTCCATAAATGTGGCTCTTGTCTGGAGATCTTTGTGATACCCTAAACCTGATAATAAACAGACAGATACGAATTTACTAACATTGCCTCACTGATGTAATTTTTACTTATCCTACATGCTAATTCTCCAGGTTTTACATTTCTGTATAAAGCGTTAAATTTATCTCACCTATGGAGTGCATGAGGCCACTGTCCACATTAGCATTGAGTAAGTTAGACATTGCAAGCACTGTACAGTGCCTCAGTGATGCCAGCCTCCGAGACATGCCACGTTTCCTGCCGCCTGTTTGTGCATTTTCATCTTCAACTTCACTACAGTCATTCAAAAGGTTCATAAATAATGTGAAATATCTGAGAAATAAAAAGATTCACCCTTACACAGTGAAGGCCACATCAACCAGAAAGCTAACATGATCTTCTGAAATAATCACATATGTATCATAGGACCAGCCCTGAGTATCTGCTTATCGCCAGTCTTGTAATGAACCAGAGAGGCTCACTATTAAGTACACAGTATTAAATATGATTTCACACTGACAAATCCAAATGCATGCTACATAATGTGCACGAAGGAGATGTTGTTTCTTCATGTGTTGCTTTTAATACTTAGTATATAAAATAAATGGTCCAAATAATTTAGACAATGTAATTTTAAATGATTTAATAAGGCAATCTGGGTTTTATTACCAGTACAAAATTCACTCATCAGGCTATTTTCTTTAAAAACTATAAAGCACAGTTGTTTTTCTCTCCTAGCCCTGTCATGAGGAATATTTCTTCATGCATGTGATATATTTTAAAGGCGCTCTGGTGGCACAATGCCTAAGGCATCTGACTGCACCCTGAAGGTTGGCAGTTCAAACCTACCAGCTACTCTATAAAAGGAAGATGAGGCAATCTACTTCAGTAAAGATTTAGAACCTTGGAAATCCAATGGGGTTACTATGAGTCAGAGCTGAATGATGGCAGTGGGTTGGTGTTTGTTTTTTTGGTGGTATATTTTCTGAGACAGTAGCCAATGATGGTTAATACCAAAATAATTTGGTCCTTCCTTTTCTAAATACAATCATTTGCCACAACCTTGTTTTGTATTGCCAAATATGGGGCTTTATTTGCTTTTTGCTTTGTGTTTTTGGTGAATGAAATTTACTTAAGAAATAACTGTGATTTGGCTTCCATCAATTCCACACCATCTCCTTCCTCAGGCTGAAGAGGCAGACCAGCCAGGAGCGAAACCACTGCTTCCATGCTTGCCTGATCCAAATCTCTGGGGAGAACAAAATTAGAGCCCATACATCTTTCAGGTTCTTACAATCCATCCTCCCCTCAAATCAATATCTTACTAACATACACAAACTTTAGGAATTGCCTATTTCATTAAATAAATTATTAGGACAACCTTAAATGATCTGAATTAATATGCTAATCCCAAAATGCCAAGAATTTTCTCGCTGGGGAGAGAACAGTAATAACTTTCTATAAAATAATCTTGGAAAAATGACCACCTTAAATCAAAAGTATGTACAAAACCAGGCCTAGCTGAAGAAATATATGTGAATAGTTATTATGTAGTTCACAATGCTTGATCACTTTCCGATATCTGACAGTATAAATATTTATTATTAGTGCAAAGAAACTGCACTTTTAAAAAGACTCAACACAATAATTAAGTTCCTCAAAATAATACTTTTATTCATCTAATCGGAAGATAAATATAATCTAAGACTTTACAGATGAAGCCCCGGTGGTACAACGTTTAAGTGTTCAGCTGCTAACTGAAAGGTCAGCAGTTCAAATCTACCAGCCACTCTGCAGGAAAAAGATGTGGCAGTCTGCTCCTATAAAGATCATAGTCTTGAAACTCTATGGGACAGTTCTACTCTGTCCTATAGGATCACTATGAGTCAGAATCGACTCGACAGGAATGGAGTGGGTTTTTTTTGAAGGCTTTACATATTTTATTTCTCAGTAACTATAGACTACCCCTTCCTAAACAGGTAATGCTAACTTTCCAAATGTAACACTCTCTCATATTTGTTTTTTATTGAGAGTTTTATAGTTAAAAACATTTTTAAAAGAAATACTAAAGATTACTCTTTATATATTTTAAATTCAAAAGCTTGATATCTAAAAAACAAACCTTACACACAAATATACATAACAAAGCTACAATGAAGTAGTACTAATGCCTAGAGCAAAACCTGCTAATACTTAGTAAAAGATCTTTTTTTTTTTTTTTACCTTGTAAGACATTTTACATCATCATCTGCAGCTTGGTTTGAGGTTCCCATAACCCAGTCTGTCAGGTATTCTACCATCTTATTCCTATAGAACAGTGGAGAAAAGGAAAGCAGGAAACTTTATTTCTTAAAGTCACACACACACCCCTTTAATCATATAAGAGTTTTTAATACTACAAATAATTTGCCAAGTAACCAAAGTGGCATGAAAACTTCATAAATATTGTTATCATAACTCTAACAGTCAGAAGCACAAATAGGAGCAACCTGGCTATTGATCATCCACATTGGTCCTTAGCTATGGTGTCAGCTTAAAAACAGAAATAAAATTCTTAGGTCACACAATATAGTATAATTTTAGAGAAAGGGAGCACTAATATGGGCACAAAGCTTTGGGAAATTTAAAAAAGACGTACAGAGAAAAAGCAAACACTTATTATGTTCCTTTTCCACTTCCCATCACTCCCACAGATTATGAGGTACCTTCTATTTTTCCTACACTTTCTTTTAACATAGTATAATTTATAAAATTCTGCTTTGTTCTGTTGCCAACTCACCTAAATTTCATCTCTTGACAAAATGAGAGGTCGTCTCTCCTTGCCATCATTACTTCAACCAACTGACACAGTTTTGTTTTTATTTGAATTGCATGGACCATGTTCCCAAGCACACGAACATATCTATTTAGACATTGAAAAAAAATTATCAGATATAGACAAGAGCAGGTATTCTACAAGCTTTAATCTCTAAGTAACATGACTAAATGTAACTATAAAAACTGTAAGATTTTAGTTTTATTTATATGGCAACATATACAATATCTGGCACTCTTATGTCACACCCTATTTTGGGGACAATAAAACAAATGAAGGCCAATGATTCCATCAATAACTACTAATAAAAGGAGCCCTGGTAGTGCAGTGGTTAAATCGTTCAGCTACTAACCAAAAGGTCGGTGGTCCAAAGCCACCAAGTGTTCCATAGGAGAAAGATGTGGCAGTCTGGTCTATATAAAGATTTACAGCCATAGAAACCCTATGGGGGCAGTTCTACTCTGTCCTATAGGGTTGCTATGAGGCAGACTCAACTCGACAGCAATGGGTTATGGGTTAACTACTAATATCACTCATAAGAGGTTTATTTTATCTCTTAAATTATGTTTCTGTTACACTTCAGTAGAAAGCTTACCTTACTAGATTTAACATCATGGTTTCAATGCTAGCTTGCCCCAGATGTTCAGAGCTGCCTTCAGTATGATTATCTAGTAAATTCTTCATTATAGCTATCGTTTGCTCTACGAATTGAGTATTGGTATCAGTCAACAAAACCTATAGAGAACAAAATATATTTTGTCACCAATGCAAAGGAGACAGAGGATTGAAAGATGAAACTCCCTGAGGTAAGTACCTTACACACAAAAAAGCGTATCCACAGGCTTACACTCAAGCAGGCACCCATACCCATAGCTAAGACAATCACACCTCCAAAGACACACATGTAGAGTGCCTAAGAAGCAAAGTGAATCCTAAATTAGGTGACTTTTATTTCTGCATTCCTTTCAGTAGATTTTTGCCTTTTTTTTTTTTTTTTTAAAGTTGTGAGTGATTCATTCATGCTAGTACCTAACTTAAATAATGTGAAAGGAAAAAGCATAACTGTTTCAAACATGTCACACTATTCATAAAGAAGGATAAAAAAAACAGACAACAATTTACCTGTCCTTGAGAGTCAAAAAACTTGCTGATGGTATTCTTCAATTTGTTAAATAGCATTGGATACAGAGCAGGACTCAACTCTAGACCCACCAGATCCTTAACATTGGTCCGTATTTGAAGTCCCACTTTCTCATGGTTACACACCATTAAGGATAGCAGCCGATCCATAAATTTGCTGACAGGTGTGTCTGCGTTTCCCTCTGAGGACATCACTGAAATCATGGAACCCTTACGTTCACTGACTGGGCCCATGGGTGGGCTATAGGTTGCCAGGCCAGAACTGCTTCTCTGCTGCAGGCATACTCCCCCAAGGGCACAAAGAAAGCCAGTCATGTTGATCCATTCCTGTAGGGAGTCCGTGTCAGACAAATCTATGGAGCCTCCTCCACTCACATGAGACATTCGCCTCTTAACGATGGTCTTGTGAAGGCTTTCAGCAGCCTAAACACAAAATTTTTGTGGAAAACATGAACTCAATGCAAACTGGTTGAGATTTTTGACAAATTACTATTTATCCATCATTTCTTCCATGACAAATGTACATTTTTTACATTTTAAAAAACAAATACTGAAATTACATATACTTTTATTAAGAACAGAACCACCAGAATATTTTTGTCATAGCTAGATTAACAATTAATCCAGAGTAGCAAGTATCTTTAGAAAAGCTTTGATTCACATGGATAAACCTTGAAAATACTATGGTAAGTGAAAGAAACCAGTCACAAAAGACCACATATTCTATGATCCCATTTATATGAATGTGCAGAATGAGCAAATCTAGAGATAGACAGTAAGTTAGTAGTTTCTTAGGGCTCAGAGAGAGGGGTAAAGTTGGGAGGTTTCTTGTTGAAGTAATGAAAATGTACTAAACTTGATTGTGGTGATGGTCACAAAACACTATGAGGACACTAAAAACTACTGAATTGTACACTTTAAATGGGTAAATTGTATGTTTGTGAATTATATTTCAATAAAGCTGTACCAAAAACAAAAAAATTCTGATTCTAAAGCAGCACATCCTCTCCAAATGTAAGTACACATTTTTGCTTCACAAAAACATACATTTTTTTCCCTTGCTTTAATTATGACAGGAAAAATGCAATGAAAGAATAACCAGTTTTTCTAAAATACTTAAGAATGAAAGCAATCTGGGCATTATAAATCAAATACACACAAATACTAATTAACTCTTAATTTCTGAGGTAACAGCACATGTTGATGAATGAAATGTCCATATTTTAAAATTCATTTTAACCTATGGTTTCAATTTTCTGTCCATCAGATCGCTTGATTAGAGTATCTAACAAAGTAGCAAAATTAACTTTCAATTTTAATTTATCTTTCCTTACCTCTATCACTTCTTTCCTGAAAATTCTGTGATCCACCCTCAGGAAAGGAAAATGACCAAGCAAGATGGTGAAGAAATTGACCCTAGCTCAGCACTGTACAATATAAATATATCCACAATGATGAAAATTTTTTGTATCTGCACTAACCAATACAGGAGCTCTGGTGGCACAGTGCCTAAGGCACGTGACTGCTAACCAGACGGCTGGCAGTTCAAACCCACCAGCCACTCCTCGGAAGGAGGGTTGGGCAATCTACTTCCGTAGTGATACTGCCTCAGAAACCCAAGGAGGGGTCGCTATGGGTCAGATCCAACTTGACAGCAGTAAGTTTGGTTTTTTTTAATCCAATACAGTAACCACTAGCCACATGTAACTACTGAGTTCTTTACTTAAACTGTGGCTACTATTATAACTGAGGAACTGAATTAATATTTTAATTTTAATCAATTTAAATTACAATGTAATTTAAATTGAAATAGCCACATGTGGCTAGTGGCTACCATATTAGAAGATAATACATGTGCAAATGAATTCCAACTAAATATCAGTTTCAAGACAACTATACATTTATTATATTAAAAGTTAATCATAAATGATTATTAGAGTGGAGTAATATATTTGGATCAATTTATACACAAAAATCAAGTTTATAAACTCACCTGGCCATCTTCCATTTTGGCTTTCGGGTAGTTGAGGATCAGTTTTGTAGCTTGTTCCCATTTTGCATGTGTATCTTCCCAAGCCTAAAATGAAAGCAATTATCACTTAAAAGCAACTTTAAGCCTAGAGCAAAGAATCAATTAACAATAGGCAGGTTTATTAACTTGGTGCATATGACAAGTAGAATGTCTTACTTGTCATATACACCTATCATATTTGTGGCAAAACTCATTCCTGGTTGCATACACATAACGTGAGGCTTCCAAAATTGAGAGCTGGGTGTTTCTGTCACCAAGGACATACCTCAGTGTTCCCTGCAGTAGGATGCTCAATGCGCCTTAACAGTGCCATCACTCTTTTCTGAAGGGCTGCTCTTCCTAAGCAAAAGACAACAGCAAATCAAGTCACTGCACTTAAAGTCTGTTTACCAAGAGGAAACCTGACAAGCCCAACCCGAAAGGCAGAGCAGGAGTGATTCTTTAAATGATAAAGTTGAAAACTTTCTTCCACCAACCTCACAGGAAAGGACTCCACAATGTCTATAGCATAAAATAGCTACTTGTACCTGTATTTACTTGAAACATGTGCCAATGTGTTTAAAACTTCACTACATACAGTTCATGCAGAGTAAATTATATAATCTATAAATGACAGTAATCCATACTGCCAGTTATTTACCAAAATACAGCATATTAAAAACTCAGTGAGCAGCTAACAACTGACTTCGAATGTTATTCATTTTCACCTCACCTTGTCCAGAGAAGGATCTCAGGTAAGAAAGCTGTTTGAATTATTCCCACAAATTCAGAGAACAGGTGAAGTTGCTATCAAGGTGATTCTGACTCACAGCGAGCCCATGTGTGCAGAGTAGGACTGCTCCATAGAGCTTTCAAGGGCTGTGACCTTTCCGAAGCAGATCATCAGGCATAATCTTAAATCCATGACTGCATTTCTAACTCAGCCAGGTGTTATGTATGAATTGAAGCAGACTGAGTGAAGATACCATAATCCACATTTACCTGTTGACATCATGTTGCTAACAGAGGCAAACTCCATGAATGTGTTATAGTTGGGTAGAAAGTTGTGCACCGAGACTTCATCCACTCCACACCGGATATCTGCTTCCTCACAGAGGTGGCAGAAACAGGACATGGCAACCAAAACAGCTTCAGTGTCAGGGCTCCATAGAAACATGTACAGGGCCACTTCTAGTTTGGTCTGGGCTTGTCGGCATATTGGTGGAGTGCCACTGCACCCCGCAGCACTATCCTGGTAGTTAAGGGGTAGAAGGTATATATATTTGCAACTTGTTGTTGTTGTTGTTGTTTGCCATCGAGTCGGCCCCGACTCATAGCGACCCCTCCTTGGGTTTCCGAGGCAGTATCACTACGGAAGTAGGATTGCCCAACCTTCCTTCCGAGGAGTGGCTGGTGGGTTTAAACCGCCAGTCTTCTGGTGAGCAGTCAAGTGCCTTAGGCACTATGCTACCAGAGCTCCTACTTAGATCATTTTATTTACAAAACTCAACAATCCATTAAAATGTATATCATATACACCCTCACACAATAGCCCACAAGAACTTTCCTTTTTAATCACAATAGGAATTTTTAACCCCTAAAATATCTTGTAAGAGAAAGGAGATTATTTGAACCAACATAATTTCAAATAGAATACGTATTATCCTACCCTAGATACCAGAAATGTAAATTAAATTTAACATGTACAGAAGTAAAACATCAACATAAATCTACTGCAAGAAAAATGTAATGCACTTCCTATCAATCCCAAATGACAAAGGGAGAGGAAATAACAGGTCCATCTGTCTACTTGGTAGAGGAAAGAAATAAAAAGTAAGTACAATACAGCAATGACTGGATGCAGGCACAAAGAAGAACTAAATATTTCTGCAGAAGATACATTCAGTTCTGGATTATATAGCCCTAACATGTGAAATGGAGAAATTCCTCATTTATAAAACAAATGCAAATTCTGCAGGCAAAGTAGACAATAGTAAATACCATACTTTTTAGTTGTTTTCTTTTTTCCCCTAACAAAAAGCTATATTGAAATTAAGGGATGAAAAAAAAGCTTTGGTCTGAAAAAGAAACTCTTCTGTAACGATGTGACATTTTCATTTGTACTATGGTTTATTTTTCAAAGGAATTATATACACAAACAAAAACCACTTGACTATAACATTAAGCAAAATGCTTTGTTTTTTTCCCCAGTAAATTTGTATGTTTGTTAATTTTAAACTTTTTGGTATATAGGGTATAATTTCTTATGGGGTGGAAGTTTATAATAATTATGATTATCAGCTAGATAATAGTTATCAAATAGTCAAGTGCTACTTATACAATAAACTATTCAGTCCTCACAACTTTGGGCAGGAATCATTATTACCCCCATTTTAAAGCTGAGGAAGCTAAGGCACAGAGATACTAAAGAACTTACTGAAAGTACCACAAAGATCTATTACCTTTTATTTACTAATGTTCATTCAGAAAAAAAGTACAGAATACAGAAGATGACACCAGAAAACAACAAAAGATGCTGCTTACCATGGATGAGTTTCCTTTTCCCTTCCGGATAGAGGCTCCAGGAGTACAAGTACGTAGTAGCTCTTCATGATCCATGGACATTTGACTGGCATTTCCACTAGAAGGAACATCACATCCTATCCCATAAAGGTATAGGAAATGGCAGGAACTTCTATCTGCCTGCTAGAAAAAAGAAATAAGTAAGCTCTGCTGAAGCACTGCCAACCAGGAAAAAAAAACAACTTCATATGAGTTGTCTTCCTATTTGAAATTACACTGGCAAAGTTTTCCTCTCAACATCTCTCTCTCAAAAAACCTTGAGGAACATTCATTAGAAACCCATTATGACAAAGATTTGTTCAGTGTCTTTAAAATACCTCTCAACTTTCCACTCTCTAAAAATCATCAGATTTCAGAAATAAAAACTAAGTATAACATGGACACATGTAAAACATCAACAACATAAATCTACTCAATGAAGAATATAATGTACTTTGCAATCAATTCTAAATGACAAAGCTTTTCTGCCATTTGGATTCTGTGTTCTCTGCCATGTCAGGATAATCGGAAGCTACTACTTTGAGATTAAATTCCTCTGAGCCAGTAATTAAGTCTGGTATTTATACCAAGTGTGTTACAAGACTTAACTTTGCTGATCATAGAACTATAGATTCATTACTGGATTGCTGATGCTTATATCCTGGAGAATTATAATCAAGAACATAAAACTCTAAAGTTGAAAATAAGCCAGATGTGAATAAACCCACTTCACCTGTAGTCCATTTCTAAACAAAGGAAAAACAAACTACATCACATCCTGAAAAGCCTATGAAATTGGTACATTTAAGGTCTCTTACAGCTATGATTCTAGAACTTGATTTAAAAACAAAACAAAACAAAACCCTCATTAAATCAAACACTCCTAAACCAATGTCATGAATAGAAGGAAATTTTGATTAATGATAATTATAAAAACTGTATGTTAAATCTAAGGCTCTTCTCTAGCCTCCATAACCTCCTCACCATGTTTCAATAGTTCAAGTTCTAATATTTTCAAGAGGCAGAACTCTTGCGGAAAAAATATAAATCACTCTAGATGGAGGATCCTTAACCTCTTCCCTTCAGGTTCTTCAGAGAGAACATTCTCTGGATTAGAGAAGCCAGATGAATCAAGTCTTACGTATAAACTTGAAAGGAAAAATATGTATCTCAATCTACTTTTATTATAGTGGTCTGTACTCCTCCGAAGCGTGTCCCACAGAGCTCTACTTAATTCACTAGGGTTCATCAACATTATGACTTTTAGAGCAAAAATTTTAGAATAATTTTCTACATGTTGACTTGTCAGCCTCAGTCTTCTATACACACATTCCCCTTGAGGATTTATAGGAGAGAAGGGCTAGAATAGGACTTGATTGGGGTAATAAACACTTCCTTTATCTCTCCTCACTATGATTCCAAATATTTTCCAGTTCTGAAGATGTTATTTTGCTTACCTTATTTTTAAGAAGAAATTTATTCCTGCAAATCAAAATTTCCCGCAACCATTTGAGAATTTCTGTGCTACTAAGCATTTGATGGCTAGTTAATTTCTTGCAGATGTAAAAAAGCATCTGTGAGCTGCAGTGACATAAAGTTCATTGTTACCAGCATTGTCAATAAATAACCTAATACAGATATAATCAATACATAAGAATGGTATTCTCTTATAATGAATATAAGTTTAGAAAAGCTTATTTGGTTTCTAGGGTCTGTTTCAGAGAATAGTTATCAAAGTGTTCAAGCATCATAAACAAAGGAATTAAGTTTCTGGTTTTTTAAAAGCAGCAGGTACTTCTACTGCCTCTACTGTCCAAACTCCCAACTGCTTCATTTGTAAATCCATCTTGCAGTGGTCTGAGGAAGAAATGAAAAATCATGCGCACAGCATAGACCACACACAGAACAGTGCAGGCGGGGCAAACTATCACCCTCAGGCCAAACCTAAACTACCGCATGTTTTCATAAATAAAGTTTTACTGGAAAAATGACACATCAATTCATTTTCATATTGGGTATGGCTGCTTTCATGCTCTAACAGCAGAACTGAATAGTGTGGCAAAGTCTAAGGTGCACAAAGTCTAAAATATTTACTACCTGGCTCTGTAAAGAAAAAGTCTGCAGATCTCTTCAAGTGCTGTCCAACATGGTAGTCACTAGCTAATGTGGCTATTGAGTATTTTAAACGTGGCTAGTCCAAATTAAGATGTGCTGTAACTGTAAACAACTAAGTTTTGATGACTTTATGAACAAAGAAGGTAAAATATTACTTTATAACTTTTATCTTAGATATTAAAATAAGAAGGAAAAAAAATCCATTGCCATCAAGTTGATTTCCCCGTGCTTCTTTTTACTTTTTAATGTGGCAACTAGGAAATTTTAAATTACATATGTGGCTCACATAACTCTTGGGAACACTACTCTAGAGTACAGGATTTAATTCAGATGCCAAAAGACTTGGTGCACTCATTTCTATGATAAGATAAAGGCAACACTGGAGGCACACACATTCACATGGTCCTCCAAGTATTGTCTTTGTGCTTTTTAAAAGGTAATAACCGATATAACTGAAGAAGAACATTACAAAATTTCCTATATTTTTGTCTTCTAAGCAAATGCCCATTATTAATTCATTCAGGAAAAGTTGTGGTATAAAAAATTTATGAAAGATTATGATTTTGAAAACTTAAACATACTATTACAGTTATGAAATGTTAACACTCTATGCTTATAAGTGTAAAAATGTATTAAAAACCAAGATGCAGCTAAACAGAAATCTGAAAGAGAAGAGAATATACCAAATCACAGTACTGATGGTTGGGTGATAAATTTCAGCACAGTTTTAAAATTCTATTTTCTAAATTGTTGTGATACTGCTTTTACAGTTAAAGAAAAATTCTAATGAATAATTTCAAGTCAAATAAAATACAAAATCCAAACTTCCAGAGGTACAATAAAGTTTTACAATGAACTAGTAAGTACTAAACTACAGTTGTATTTAAAGACAAAAAAATGTAAAATAATTTCTTAGAGTTGAATTAAAAAAATAAAAATACATATACCTAATCTCCCAAAATGTTTCTACAGGAGCTTCAGGATTCCACAGATCAATGCTATCTAGCTGATGAAGAACAAGCAAAGCCTAAATTTTAAAAGAGACAGAAAACTTTTACTCAATAGAATTTTGGTAGATGACTTTTACTCAAAAAACTTGGGTAAATATATTACTGAGGTACATATCTAACAAATGCTAACAATTGTAGCCTCCGGGTACATGAAAAGGCAGAAATATTCTTGAAAACACAAATGTCTGGGAAAATAATAGCTGAAAGATCAAAACGATATATGGAATGAAATAATTTTATTCCTGTAATTCTTATATTAAATGGCATTTTTTAAAATGACATGCATATAAATGGGAGCAATGGCATTCAGTGGCGGAATTCTCGCCTTCCGAATAAGAGACCTGGTGTCAGTCCCAGCCAGTATACCTCAAGTGTAGCTACCACCCGTCTATACCTCCAGTGTAGTGACTACGGCTATCAGTGGACGCTTGTTTGTTGCTATCATATGAAACAAGTTCCAGCAGAACTTCCAGACTAAGATAGATTAGAAAGAAAGACCTGGGGATCTATTTCTGAAAAATCAGTCAACGAAAACCCTATGGATCACAAGTCTGACTCTGCTGTGCGTGGCGTTGCCATGAGTCAGGTCAACTCGACAGGAGCTAACAGTACAACAACATATAAAGTTAAATGGCTGATTAACTCAGAGTAGTAACGTATACATACAAAACTGCTTCAGAAACAACATAATTTCAACAAAAATAAAAAACACTCTAAGGAACATAAAGTTAAATTCCTAGCAAGAGGAGCACACAAAATTAATAAACATAGTAATACTTTACTTGCAGGGAAAAATATAAAATGGAAGTTATCTTGCTTGCCAGAAATTCTTTTGGAATAGGAAAGATAATCCGTTATTTTTCAAAAATGAGGAAGAGGGGAGCAAATTAGATCTTGCTTTTCATAACAGATTATTCATCTTATAATTTCAATTTACCATAAACTTAAAACTAGAATTTAGTTTGCAGAAGACTAACAAGAATTAAATAATTAAATTTAAATATACAATTAATACACAAACACATTCTTATTACATAAATTAAAACAATGAAATGTATGAAGAGTAAAGCTTGGACTCTTCCTTCAAACAGACCCCACTTTCATCTTAATTCCAGGATGGAATATATATATATATATGGTTGTTCTTTTATTATAAAACATTTCAAACAGAAACAAAGACTAGTACAATGAACCCCCAGTATGCCCATAACCTAGCTTCACATACTATCAACTAATGGCTAATCTTTCATTTTTAAACCCCTTCACCCGCATCAAACCCACCTCTTAATTATCCATCTATTTTGCTTCGCCTCCCATCCCAGTAACCAACAAAGACAATTTCTTTCCCTGTGTAAAGCTTTCCTTGACTAAACAAACCCTTTTATTAAAACTCCAATGATATACTGTTTGGGACAAATAAAGAGAATTATTTTTTCTCTTAAAAAAGCAAGTCAAATAAAGTAAAAATGGATGTACTGATAATCTGCTTCATACTAGAAAAGAATACTGTGTCTAACCTTGGGCCACTTTATAATTTCAAAAGTTATCAATTATATAAGTACCATAATTATATTACCATATTTCAAATACTTCTATTACAATTACTTTTACATATTTAGTAAAAATTGCAATTCACTGTGAGAATCTTCAAAACTTGTAAGTTTACAGCTCTCATATCAAAGAAAAAAGGGTACAACTTAAAATTCAATTTTGCCACTATTGCCCAAAATCTCGTACTCGTACAATTTACTGGTACTTTAGATTTTTTTTTTAAGTGGCAAATTCCTATTTTACATTTGATTGATAAACCATTTAAAATATCAGAAGAGAAAGTGTTAGCCTCCTCCCTGCTTTAGTATGCCTGCTTTTCATGCTCCCTTTTATTTTCCACATATATTTTAATAAAGCTGTAATCATAACATACTCATTTGACATTTCATAAACCTTTTTTCTATATTGCTATGTGATCATCTTTGAATTGATGTTTAGAATTCACCAAGCTGAAATACTGTTACTGAATATTAATAGCCCATTCTCTCACTACTTTGTATTTAGTTTTCCTAGTATTTTCCTAGGAGCTCTGGTAGCACAGTGCCTAAAGCACTTGACTGCTAACCAGAGGGCTGGCGGTTCAAACCCACCAGCCACTCCTCAGAAAGAAGGTTGAGCAATCCTACTTCCGTAGTGATACTGCCTCAGAAACCCAAGAGGGGTCGCTATGAATTGGGGCCGACTCGATGGCACATAACAACAACAACAACAACATTTTCCTATTATAAATCAGAGCAATTTATGTGTAGTCTTTTTTTTTTTCCCCTTTTGAATTGTAGTCACAGAGTATGGAAACTACAGGTCAGAATTATTTGGGCAAAAATATAAATATTCCTGCCAAATAGCCTTTCAAAATAGAATGGAAGGATTTTATTAATCTTTTCAGAGAACCAATTTCCCATCTTACTGATTTTTTCCTACTATCTATTTTCTACTTCACTTATTTCTGCTCTAATCTTTATTATTTCTTCTGGTGACTGTAGGCCTTTTTTTGCTGCTCTTTTTCTAATTGTTAGAGATGTTGGGTTAAGGTGTTGATTTTGGCTCTTCTTTTTTGATGTGTGCATTTATTGCTATAAACTGTCCTGTGATCACTGCTTTTACTGTGTGCCCAAGATTTTGGTATGCTGTGTTTTCATTCTCATTAGATTCAAGGTGCATAAGGTGAACATATACCAGGTAGGTACAATGCTTAGAACAATCAACCATGGGAGAGCAGATGTACAACATCTGCAGCACAGGGAGAAAACTCAGAGAGCAGGAATGCACAGGAAAAAAAGATACGGGGAAAGGGTAACCAGAGGGAGCAAGTGGGAAGAGAGCTGTTACATTACGGGGATAGCAGTCAATATCATGAAACAAAATGTGCGTGAAATGTTGTATGGAAAATGACTTTGCTCTGTAAACTTTGACCCAAATCACTATTAAAAAAAAAAAAAGTAAAGAATATACCAATTTACTCTATAAACTTTCAGCCAAATCACAATTTTTTTAAAAAAAAAGTAAAGAATACAACAATTTATTAGATGAATAACAATGTACACAATATAAAATGAGTGCTTCTACTTGTGTATACATACTATGAGTACTAGAACTTTTTTGGTACACATATTTACTGATGTATACAGTCAGTACAAATAATCAATATGAAAATAATTTTTAATAAAGTCAATTGCATTCATACCCTTTCAGAATGGCTGTAAAGTGTTGGTGAGAATATGGAGAAGTTGGAATCTTCACACACTGTTGGTGTGATATAAAATGATGTTACTGCTCTACCAACTAGTTTGGCAGTTTCTCAAAAAATGAAACAGAGAGTCGCCATATGATCCTGTAATTCAACTCCTAGGCATATACCCAAGAGGTATGCCCACATAAAAAACTGAACAAATGTTCACAGCAGAATTATTCATAACAGTCAAAAGTGGAAATAACCCAAATATCTATCAACTGATGGATGGATAAACAAAATGTGGTATATCCATACAATGGGATATTATCCAGCCATCAAAAGGAATGACATTTGGATACATGCTACAAACATGGATGAAACTTGAAAACATGCTAAGTGAAAGAACCAAGACACAAATGGCCACACATTTTATGATTCTATTTGTATAAATGTCCAGAATATGCAAATCCATAGAAACAGAGATAGATTAATAAAAAATGAATACATATTAAGAGTTTTTTAAAAGTCAACTACAGTTAGAAAATTTAGTTTGTTCAACGTTGTTACTGCATATGACAGAAAACAAGTAAACCCCTTCTTTCTCCATGGAATTTATAAAAGTATATAAAAACAAATACGTCATTTCCAGAAATGATATCTACCTATCACTCACACAAACCACATGCTAAAGAAAACATACGTAATTATGACCTCTCTTTCAAGAGGCCAGAATGAGTTTTTCCTTTACCTCCATTGCTTCCTGAGCGATCTCTGGCATGTGTGACTGTGGGACCAGTTGGACAAGTCCTGTAATTAATTCTGCTGTACTGCCTTGGGTTTCAGGTCCCTGTTTCCTTGGATTCTGCAAGGAAAAATGAAACCATGAGTTCAAAAAAAGATCAATTGCTAGGGGCTGGGACAGAGTGGGGCAGCGTGTGAAACAGGAGTGACAACTAACAGGTACTAGGTTTCTTGACAAAAATATTAGAAGTAGATAGTGATGATGGATGCACAACCTCATCAATATACCCAACCCACTGAACTGCACACTTTGAAATGGTGGATTTTATGACATATGAAATATAACTCAATAGAAATAATTAAAAAAAAAAATTTAAAACTCCTTCTGCAAGATTCCCTAAAGCCACAATTTGTTCATCAATGTAAATTCCTGGACAATGTTCTTCAGTGTTTAGGGAAAAGTCTTATTCAAAAAATTCAAAAACTAAGCATCATATTTTTCAATTAAGAAATTATCTCACTAATACGAAGGGTAAATAATTTTTTTTTCACCACCACTGAACTAGCTACAAAATTGTGACTTGGAACTCACTGGATTTAACATTATAAATGGCTGTGATCAGAGGCAAACAACATACGTGTTGTCTGAGGATCACATGATCATCCTGTACAGACTCTTGATCCAGTAACAAGAATCCGCCCACATCTCCACAGCCAATGTCAAAGGGAAAGCTAGAACCCACACCTCCAGGTATCTATACTTCATTCCTTTTCATTATGGGAAAAAACAATGTATATAAATATGAATACCTACCTACTTATTGAGTAACTACTATAATCTGAAAGCATTATTCATATTTCAAGAACATAAGGCTTATTTAAGTGAGGCCAATGTAACTTGTGTTCATATTTTATGTTGCCAACTACTGATTCTTCTCCATTATAATGATTAAGGTAAGCCTTTACCTCAGTATATCTGTAATCCAAAACTGTTAGCATATTTTCTAACATTTTATATTTACTCATTCATAACCCAGTAACATTTATTGAACACCAAAGATACAATAATGAAAAAAGAAAATGTGCTTCCGATGCTATTCTGTATAGTCTGATGGATAAAACTGACACCAATAAAATAATCAGACCACCATGTGTAAAACTGTAAATGAAGTAAGAGCTGTGAAGGTATATGGCTGTTATAAAAGCTGTAATAGGGAAATACTACCAACTCAGAGAGCCTTCCTTAGGAGAATGATAACGACTTAGAATTCACAGGAATTACTACATGATGAGGAGAAAAAACAACCTAAGCAAAGGGAATGTGAAGTGCAAGAGTGGGCATGGAAAAATGTGGTAAGTTAGAGGGACCGAAAAAAAAGGCCATCAAGACTAAAGTGGAGAAGAAAAAGGAAAGCATGATGTTAAATGTGGCAGAAGTGACGGGTAGGAGTCAGACTGCATGACCCTGTAGACCTAATTGGAGTTTTCTGGTTTTTCTCCTAAGAGCAATTTCATGTAACAGCTTTTAAACAGCAGGCTTGATCAGATTTGCTTTCGAAAAAAAGCACCATCACTTTAGTGTAAGTAACTACTAGAAGGTAAGAAAGAATAAAAGCAAAGCAAAATTGAAAAATTGAGAGCAACATGGATTATTACAGAGATGGTAAAAACAGAAAATGATAAAATGATATTACTTTATAAATACTATGATTGAGGCTAAATCAAAAACTCACTGCCATCAAGTTGATTCCAATTCATAGCAAGCTCCACTGAGTTTCCAAGGCGGTAATCTTCACAGAAGTAGATTGTCCCATATTCCTTCTGTGGAGCAGCTGATGAAACTGAATCACCAGCCTTCTGGTTAGCAGTCAAATGTCTCAGGCACTGCGCCACCAGAGCTCCTCATGGTTCAGACTACTAATCATTCCCACACTTCCTTCTATTTACCAATATTTAGACATTTTATAAATATGAAATAATTGAATATTTACAACAAATCTTTCACTAATTTAACTCACCTATGGTTACTCTGAAGGTCCCTGGGTGGCACAAATGGTTGACATACAACTACTAACCAAGGACTACTGATTTAAAAGTTGGCAGTTTGAACCCACCCAGCAGTATCACTGAAGAAAAGTCCTGGCAATCTGCTTCCATAAAGATTACAACCAAGAAAACCCTAGGAAGCAGTTCTACTTTGTAACACATGGGGCCTCTGAGAGTGGAAACCTACTCAAATGGCAACAAGTTTTGTTTTGGGTTGATGGTGGGGGTGCTGCGGGGGGTGTTTTACATTGAGAAGAGTTTTTTAACCACTAGATGGCAGCAGAGAAAATAATTTCAATTTTAAATGACCACTTGGTAAATTTTAAACATAAAAAATACCAAGTTTTGCTTAAACTCTTGCTCTTCAAACAACACAGAATGCACCACATCTTAGGTACGTTCTTTGAACCTGAACAACAGTGAAAAGAGAATGATACTAGTATCATAAGCATTAACACAAGTAACTTGAGCTCTGAAACAGAATGTGGAGGAAGGGTATTTTATTACTTTTAGTTTCACTAATAAATGTTATAGAATTTCTCTGTTTCTAGCTAGTTAATCTATTAGATTCACTAAGTGTCTCAAATCTGGATGGGCTTTTCAAAGAGTTAAAACTATGGTCTCTTGGGATCACTTGAGATCACTGAATCTTCTCTCTGCCCTGTGTCTCTCCTCTGATCTCTCCAGAAAAAAAAAAAAAAAAAAAACTTACATAGACATCTTATAATCTCAGAGGATTTGTAAAACTCTTGAAACCACAGACATCAAGTTATTGACACTTGCATTATAGTATATAAAAGGATACCATCAAAATGCAAAGTACCTGTGGTAGTTAAGATAATGTATCAAATTGGCTGGGCCTGGTTGAGTGGCTGAGCAGCTGGTTGTAGTCATTCCCCATGATGAGACTGGCTATCGATTCCACGGTGGAATCTGCTGCAAGCAGCTGAGTAGCTGCCTTAGGGATGTGGTCTGCTTCCAGTATATTAGGAGAAGCTTTAGGAATGGTCTGCAGCTTTTTGGCATGCTTAGACCCTGCGTGTAACCAAGTCTTTATTCAGTAGCCTGTCATGCCCCGCCAATCTTGAGACTTTGTCTGGTCTTGAACTACTGGCTTGCCATGTTGCTGGATAATCTTGGGACTGTGCCTTTTCACTTGTCAACCTTGGGTTTGTCAGCCTCAGAAGCTGCCTGAGTTAAGAAAAGCCTCCAGCTTCAGTGGGCTGGGAGCAAGAGGCAGAGCTGAAGCCCAAGGTAGAGGGGCTTTCACCCAGTCCCTAGAGCTGGCACTTTGAACTCAAGACTTCTAGCCTCCTAAACAGTAAGGGAATAAACTATTTGTTAAAGCCACCCATTTGTGGTATTTTCGGTTAGAGGAGCACAAAATAACCAAAACAGCACCTTAGTATAAAGCAGTAAAGAAATCCCTATTGGTGCTGCTCTTCAGGGACTGGACAAATCAAATCACCCTAACACTTAAATACAGTGCCTAAGGCACTTGACTGCTAACCAGAAGGCTGGCGGTTCAAACCCACCAGCCACTCCTCAGAAGGAAGGCTGGGCAATCTACTTCCATAGTGATACTGCCTTGAAAACCCAAGGAGGGGTGACTATGAGTCAGGTCTGACTCCATAGCACATAACAACAACAACAACAACAACAAATGAACTTCACAATATTTAACTATTATATGTTGCACATTAACATCACTGATGTTAACTGTATTTTACTAATTGTAATAATGTTGTTGTCGTTAGGTGTCAGTGAGTCAGCTCTGACTCACAGCCACCCCGTGTACAACAGAATGTAACGCTGCCCAATCCTGCACAATCCTCACTGTATTTGCTATGCTTTAGCCCACTGCTGCAGCCACTATGTCAATCCATCGCATTGAGGGTCTTCCCCTTTACACTGACCATCCACTTTACCAAGCATGATAACCCTCTCCAGGGACCATCCCTTCTGACAACATGACCAAAGTTCATGAGACAAAGACTGGCCACTTTCGCTTTGAAGGAGCATTCTGTCTGTACCTCTTCAAGCCATATGTGTTCATTCTTCTCAGAGTCCATGATATTTTCAGTATTTTTTGCCAACACACAATTCAAATGCATCATTTCTTCTTCGGTCTTCCTTATTCATTGTCCCACTTTCACATGCACATGATGCAACTGAAAATACCATGGTTTGGGTCAGGTACACCTTAGTCTTCAAATTGACATCTTTGCTCCTTGGCACTATAAAGCGATCTTTTGCAGCAGATTTGTCCGTGCAATACATCTGCATCCCCTGATTTCTTGACTGTTGCTTCCATGGGTGCTGATAGTGGATCCAAGTGAATTGAAATCCTTGACAATGTCAATCTTTTTTCCATTTATCATGATGTTGCTTACTGGTCCAAGTTGGAAGGACTTTTGTTTTCTTTATGTTGAGGAAAACTCCATACTGAAGGCTGTATGTAGTCTTTGATCTTCATCAGTAAGTGCTTCAAGTCTTCTTTACTTTCAGCAAGCAGGTTGTATCATCTACATCTGCAGGTTGTTAATGAGTCTTCCTCCAATCCTGATGCCATGTTCTTCTTCATACAGTCTAGCTTCTCAGATTATTTGCTCAGCACACAAACTGAGTTAAGTACAGTGAAAGGATACACCCCTGATGCACAACTTTCCTGATTTTAAACCATGCAATATCCCTTTGTTCTGTTTGAATGACTGCTTCTTGGTCTATATACAGGTTCCTCATGAGCACAATTGTTCTGGAATTCCCATTCTTCACAATGTTACCAATAATTTGTTATGCATAGTCAAAGGCTTCTGTTCAGATCTTTTATCATTTCTTCCATTCACTTTAGCTACTATCCATTCAAGAGCAAGTTTCAGAGTCCTTTCTGACATCCATTTTGGTCTTTTCTTCATATATCATGTTCTGGTATTCTCTAGTTTCAGCCAAGATCCACCTGACATTAGCAATGTCTCTCTCTCCCTGCTCTCTTCTGAATCCAGCTTGAATTTCTAGAAATTCCCTGTCAATATGCTGCTGCAAGCATTTTTGAATTATCTTTAAGAAAATTCTACTTGCATGTGATATTAATGATACTGTTTGATAATTTCCACATTCTGTTGGATCACCTTTCTTTGCAATGGGCACAAATATTGATCTCTTCCAGTTGGTTGGCCAGGTAGCTGTCTTCCATATTTCTTGGCATAAATGAGTAAGTGACTCCAGTGCTGCATCTGTTTGTTGGAACATCTCAATGGGTATTCCATCAATTTCTGGAGCCTTGTATTTCACCAATTCTTTCAATGAATCTTGGACTTCTTTCAATACCATGGCTGAATGTCAACCAATTCTTTCTGGAACAGTGACAATGTATATTAATTCCATCATCTTTCATGCTTCCTTCACTGTTCAGTATTTTGCCCTTAGAATCCTTCAATACTGCACACCTTGAGGCTTGACTTTTTTCTTCAGTTCTTTCAGTTTCTGAAATGCTGAGCATGTTCTTCCCTTCTGGTTTTCTAATTACAGGTCTTTACATATTTTATTATAATACTTCAGCTGTCTCTCAAATTGCCTTTTGAAATCTTTTGTTCAGTTCTTTTATGTTATCATTTCTTCCATTTGCTTTAGCTACTATCCATTCAAGAGTAAGCTTCGGAGTCTCCTCTGACATCCATTTTTGTCTTTGTGTTTCTAATGACCATGTAAGATGTTCTTGATGTCATTCCACAATTTGTCTGGTCTTTGGTCACTGGTGTTCAATCCATCAAATCATTTCTTCAGATTGTCTTTAAATTCAGGTGGTATATAATCAAGGTCATATTTCACCTCTCGTGGACTTATTTTTTTTTTTTCAGCTTCAATTTGCACTTGCATAGGAACAGAGGATGGTCTGTGCAAAAACAGCAAGGAGGTCACATGTTCTGACCTCCTCTAATCCCACAAGAGGAAGGCAGAATCACCATCAACAGCACAAGGCCTATTACTGCAAGGACAGACATGCTGCCTCCCTCCAGCCCTTTCACCAACCGTTCCTCCCAAAGCACCCACCACCTCTTTCCTGGGTTCAATAATTCGCTGCAGTGGCCACACAGAACTTACAGATTATAGAGTTTATTAGGGAAGCACCAGGCTACAATTCAAGTTCAGAAAAACGCTCAGTCTCTCTCCCAGCCCACCATCTCTCAGCCAAGTCTCTCACAGTCTCTCCCCCAGCAGTGCATGTCCCTCGGTGTCTTACTCAGCAACGCATGTCTCTTGCGTCTCTTTTCCAGCAGCACGTCTTCCTCAACCAGCAGTCAGAGAGAGTTCTGCCTCTAGGAGGCCTCCTTTTGAGCTTGGCAGAGTAGCCAAACCAACCAATCATAACAATAGAATTCTAAGCACCTGAGAGAGACCCTCCCATAACACTGCATTGTGCCACGCCCAACAGAAATAACCCAGGTGGATAACATTTACAATCAGGAGCTCCTCAGTTGCTCATTCCACCACTGAATTTACAATGACTTATGGGTAGAAAAGCCATACTAAGTAATTTACTACACTGCAGTCTGTCCCTCAGTCAGTTCCTGGCTTTGTTCTCACTGATAACATTAAGTGTCTCCATCACCTCTTTCCACAGATGCAGTCAATTTGACTCCTGTGTATTCCATCTGGCAAGGTCCATGTGTAGTCACTTTTCACGTTTTTGAAAAAGTATCTGCAATGAATAAGTTGTCAGTCTTGCAAAATTCTATCATGTGGTCTCTGTTATTTTTTCTAACGCCAAGGTCATATTTTCCAACTACTGATGCTTCTTTGTTTCCAGCTTTTTCATTGCAATACCAGTAATAATCAATATATCATGATTGCATGTTTGGTTAATTTCAGACTGCAAAAGTTGGTAAAAATCTTCAATTTCTTCATCTTTGGCTTTAATGATTGGGGTATAAATTTGAATATAGTAGTATTAACTGCTCCTTTTTGTAGGCATATGGTTATTATCCTACAACTGACAGCAATGTATTTCAAAATACACCTTGAAATGTTCTTTTTGACAACGAATGTGATGCCATTCCTCTTGAGTGTGTCATTCCCAGTCTTGTAGCCCATATAACTGTCGGATTCAAAATCGCCAACACCAGTCCACTTTAGCTCACTAATGCCTAGAACAGCAATCTTTGTGCATTCCATTTCATTTTTGACAACTCCCGATTTTCCTAGATTCATACTTTGTTCATTCTATGTTCCAATTATTAATAAATGTCTACAGCTGTTGCTTCTCATTTTGAGTCATGCCACATCAGCAAATGAAGGTCCAGAAAATATAACTCTATCCACATCGTTAAGGTCAACTCTACTTTCAGAAGGCATCTCTTGTCCAGTTATATTTTGAGTGCCTTCTAACCTAAGGCACTCATCTTTCACCAGTATATCAGGCAATGTTCCACTGCTATTTATAAGGTTTTCAGTGGCCAACTTTTTCAGAAGTGAATGGCCTCATCCTTCTTCCCAGTCTGCTTTAGTCTAAAAGCTCACTGAAACTTCTCGACCATGGGTGACCACCCTGTATTTGAAATATCAGCGGCATAGCTACCAGCATCACAGCAACATCCAAGCCACTACAGTGTAACGAGCTGACAGATGAGTGGTGAAATTGTGATAATAGTCAACATTTAGTTAGGGCTTATTATGTGCTAGGCAATTTTCCTAAAAGCGTAATATGTACTCAATCTTCTTAATAACATCTGAGGCAGGAACTATGATTATCTCAATATTATAAATCATAAAACTAAGGCACAAAGAGTTTAAGGTACCCAGATCACACAGCAAGTATGCAGTCTATCTCCAGAGCCCCTGCTTTTAATCACTTTATATAATAACTATCACTCTAACATCTGTTAGGATCCTAATTACTCTGTATCGAATGATGTTTCTCAGGAGTCTAACCAGCTGAGGCAGAAAGAGCAGAGTTGAGACAATAAATGAGTACTAATCATACCCATTTTCATCTCCTTCTCTTTCTAATACAGTATTTGCAGGCAGAGGCAATGATACTAAAAGGCTGATAGCAGGAAGAAGAAAGGAGAACAAAAAACTAAATTGCTTAGCAATAGCAACTGGCAATTTTTTAAAAAGTCCCTGCAGAAATAGAAAGCACTGTAATTTACGGTTGCATCACTGCTTCTATCCCATCGATGTCACTCCCACCATCCATCCAAGGATTATACTTGAATAGCAATAACCTGGTAACAAGGTAAGGATAGAATTTCTCACCCAAGTATGTTAGTTTAATGATAGGGAAAATTAAGAAGAAAGGTTAAAAAATCTGACCAAATTTGCAGGGGACATCAAGCTCAGTCGGCATAATATACTACACAAACACACTGTTCTACATCCTACTTTGGTGAGTACCGAATGGGGTATTAAAAGCTTGCAAATGGCCATCTAGTTGCAACAATAGGTCTCTTCTCATCTAGAGCAAAGAAGAATGAAGAAAACAAAACCAAAGACGTATGGAAACAATTAGCCCAAGGGACTAGTAGACTATGCAATCCTCAGCCTATATGACCACGAGACCAGAAGAATTAGAAGGTGCCCAGCTACCACTGTCAACCACCCAGAAAGATTATAGAAGATTCTGCAGAGAGTGGGAGAACAATGTGGAACAAAACTCAGAATCATAGAAAAGATCAGGTTTACTAGTCTGACAGCCTGGTGAGACCCCAGAGACTATGGCCCCTAGTCAGCCCTCAGGCCTGGACTTGAACTCACTCCCATTTTGCCAGAGCAAAACAAGAGACAGACATATAGGGTGAACATTTACATCAGCTACATACACTCCTTAGAGCAATCAATTGTGGGACAAGAGAAAGGCAGTGTGTGTACAGGGAGATAGCTCAGGAGGCAGGAATGCATAGGAAAGAAGAATATGTGGAAGAGATAACTACAGAGAGGAAGTAGGAAGGGAGCTGTTACATTGTGGGAAATTGCAGTCAATGTCATGAAGCAAAATGTGTATGAACTGCTGTATGGAAAATGAATTTGCTCTGTGAACTTTCACCCAAATCACAATAAAAATTTTAAAAAGAAATCGGACCAAATTATATTAGCATTCTCTGTAATTTCATTTCCTTTGGGATAAAACTTAGGTTTCAGGTACAATCAGAAAGGGTTAACAAGTGCTCTTGGGCCAACAATTTTATTTCCTTGGTCTTGGCATTTGTTAAACCAAATTAATTCTGTGTGATAATTCCACAGTATTTCAAAAAGTATACTTACACAAAGCAGGAGCTTCGGATCTGCATGAATCAATTTCACCATGGATAAGAGAAGGTATTTATAACTTCTTGTCTCCAGGTCTGTAGGTTTTTCTTTAAATTTAAGGCTTGTTACTTTCTCTTTAAATGTAAGACTCTAAAAACAGAAACAAAACACATCATCTTGTAAGAAGATATCAAGCTCAGAATAATGACTATCCGACTTCTTAAAGTGAATCTTTTGGTTAAAAAAAAAAAAAATTTGAAAAAGGAATAAGAACTATTTTATACTACCAAATGTATAGTATTAATAAAAACACTTAATAGTAAGATTAATATTCTTAAACTTAAAAATGAAAATTATTTGTTTTACCATTTACTTTATTCTTATATAATCTAGCTAACAAAGTTTAAGTAAAAATCTGTTAACATACTATACACTTTATTATCAGGTTGACTCCTATGTAAAAAATTATTTTCTAAAATGTGAAAACATTAGGGAGAAAAACATCTTGTCTATAGTTCTCACAAAAACATAGGCATTTAATAAACACACACACAGAAATATGCAACTATTACATAGAATTGAAAATATTGTCAATTCTAAGACACATTAGTTTATATACCAAAAGGAATGAAAAAATGAAATTATAAGACACCGTAATAAATATGGTGATGTATCCCTTACAAGTAAAAAACAAGTAAAAACATGTACTTCTTAGAATTGATAAGCTATGTTATACAACTGATCTATTCAACAGTTTAACTCTAAGTTTTGCTTTTTCCTTCAATGGCATTCCATCTCAAGTTACAGAATGCCTTTTGCCTGAATAACACTGATAAAACAGAAAAAGAACTCTGAGAAAGATTAAATCATGGAAAATATGTGCAACTATAGCGATATTATGGTGAACTAAAATAATTAACTATGCATATTATTCAACCAAAAATCCAACAATTATACTCTAGATCTAATAATTTTCTCTCCTTATAATACATTTCTGATTTTAACATTTATGTCTTTATGTAAGCATATATGTAAACTTATAGGCAGTAGAATATCCAGTATCTATATACCCATAATAAAAATGTCCAGTAAACAAGTCTGTTTTTCAAATACCAAAAGTAGAGATACATTTCTGTAACACCCAGCAGCTACTCTCAGTGTTTAAGTGTAAGAAATGCACACTATTATGTCCAGGAATACTGACGGGTTTTCGTCCTCAGAGGGGAAGAACAGCTAATGGGCATATTTATGTTCAAGAATGTCATTAAACCAAAACCAAACCCAATGCCATCGAGTCAATTCCAACTCATAGTGACCCTTTTAGGATAGACTAGAAATGACTCCTAGATTCCCAAGGTTGTAAATCTTTATAGAAGCCGACTGCCTCATCTTTCTTCCACAGAGCAGCTGGTAGGTTCAAACCACTAACCTTTTGGTCAGTGGCCCAATGCTTTAACCACTATGCCACCAGAGTGCCTTAGAACTAGAAAAGAGAAATAATTTAAAATGACAAATATTGTTTGCTTTTATATTTATAGTACCAAGGCAAATGTTTTACCAAATGTATTTAGTAAATTGTTTTTATTTTCATTCGAAGTGTGATAGTGGGAGCTGTGTGTCAACTTGGCTGGACCACAATTCTGTGTGTTTTAAGCAGTTGTGATGTGGTTATTCCCACGATGGGATCAGATGAGTATGTTCTGAGCAGTCAATCCGTTGAAAGGGAGTTTCCCTAGGGGTATGGCCTGCTTCCAGTATATTTATGGACATCCTGGGAAAAGAGACATTCTTCTGTGGATCGGGATTCTGTTGTGCTGCCTTCAACTGTCTGTGAGCGAACAATCCACCATTCGGCCTGGAGATCTTGGATTCATCATTCGATGGAGGCAACAGCCAGTATACTGCCTGCCAACCTTGAGCTCCTCAGCCCCTGTAGCTGCAAGAGTTGGGAAAAGCCTCCAGACTGATGTTTGATCCAAGGACTTTGGACTTGCCAGCGTCTATAAATGTGTGAGTCATTTTCCTAAGATAAATTTCTCTTTCTCTCTATATATACGCTTTACTGGTTTTGTTTCTCTAGAGAACCCAGTTTAACACACTAAGTCAAGGCAAAACCTTACATAAAGATGAAACTTTTCACTAAACAAATTTATTAACTAATCTATAACTAAGTATAACTATCAAACTATTCCTCTCCGATGTAGCCATTGCACAGGAACAATTAGCAAATATGAGGATTCTTTTCTATTTAGTAATAATTTGCAAAATGTAAATACTAATTTAATTATGTCATCTTTTTATCACAGGTATCTGCATGTAAATTTTGTTCCAGTATGACTAAGTAATATGAAATACAAGCCTTAAGAAAGTCTTCAATTTATTCAATGACCTTTTCATTTAATGACCATTAGTGGGTTACACATAGTCAGGAAAAACTTGTTAAAGAAATGTACTTCTTAATTAGAAAATTTAAGAAAAAGTAATTCATTTATTAATTTATTAACTTGTCTTCCATACTATAGATACTAGTAGGACTCCACACTGGTATATAAGCTTTGGCAGAACAAGAGAGGTAGGCACGTCCAGTAAAAACTTCAAGAACCAGAGATTTATCCAGATATCTATTAAAGGCTAAAATCATTTATTAACTTAAGCATGACTGAATTACAGGTATGTAATTGCTGGGCCAGGGTCTCCATTGTAAGACACAAAATATGCAGAAATTATGCATGTGAAACTCATACATGAGTTATTAGCTGACTTGGATTTTAATAAAAGCAAAGATGACCTTATTTTTAAAATAATATATGATTAGTGCTGAAACAAACCTTTCAAATTTTTTTAAAAGTACAAAAAAGAAAAGCTATGGCTCGGTAGTTGATATGAAAAAGACTGAAACGTTTAAATGACTAAAAGCTCAATGTAATTTATCAACATAACAGAAACATAGTGTCCAGACAGAGCAAGTTAATAGCTCTTATTCCTGTTTAGACTGGATCTAGAACACTAAATCAGATCTTAACATAGCATTTTTTTTTTTTTTAAAGGTGTCAGGTTTAATATTTTCTTGATGAGAAGCATATCCGACAGAAAAAGGTTTTGAAAATCATGTTAAATAAGGGATTCATTCAGTCATTCAACAAATCTCACTCATTCACTCACTCACTGCCATCAAGTCGGATGCTACTCATAGCGACCCCTCCTTGGGTTTTTCCGAGGCAGAATCACTACAGAAGTAGATTGCCCAATATTCCTTCCAAGGAGTGGCCGGTGGGTTTGAACCACCAGCCTTCTGGTTAGCAGTTAAATGCCTTAGGCACTATGCCACCAGACCTCCTATTCAAAAAATATGTGTATCAAATGCCTACTATGTGCCAGAAACTGTTCTAGGGGATACGTATCCAAAGTTGAACAAGTAAGACAAAACTCCTGCTTTTATCAAGCTAGTATGTGAAGGCAGACAGCTGAGGAACCTGATAAAGACACTAGATAGAGAAATTATGGAAACTCAGAACTCTAGTTGACCTTCACTACCATATGACTACTTAAAATTCATTTAACATTCTTTAGGCCTCAGTTTCCTTAGCTGTATAAACACATCCAGCAAAGCATACACACACTTACACACTCTTAAAAAAAAGTTAGAAGTATAAAGTTCCTTCCAATGCTGAAATTACATAAAATTTTATGAAAGAGAAAAAGATACCCATAAGGGTACAGGATAATGTTATTCAAATATCTGCAGTGTTGTCTTATGGGAAAATCAGAAGTGTCCTATAGACCTCCAAAAAAAGAAAAGGTCAATGAGAGCTGAGAGTGATAAGAACATGATTCTATTTTGGCTAAAGAAAAATATGTTCTAACAATTAGCTTTTTCTAACAAGTAACTCATCTGTCTCCAAAATCCAGAGTGGTTTTAATGCATACAAACACAGATATTATTTCATTTTTTTACAGACTGAACTTTTTT